AGGATGTAGTTGTAGAGGGACGGGCATTCGATGACTAGGAAACGAACGTTTATCTCCCTGGCCACTTCCTTTTCTCCTAAGGTGACCTTCAACTCCACGTACCCCCATGGCCTAGTTGTCGTGTCGTTGAAGCCTTGAAGATCGGAGCCTAGGTATGGCGACAAATTGGACTCGTCGAGATGGAGCGTTGTGAAGAGGTGGGTGTACATGATGTCTACCGAACTTCCTCCGTCCACCAGGATGCGCCTAACGTCGAAGTTGGCCATCTGCGCCCGGATCAGGAGGGGGATGTTCGAGTTGGGGGCACCTCCAGGGAGTTCCTCGAGATAGAAGGTGATCGGGTTGGACCGTCCACGGAATTTGTCGAGGGTGCTCATTTTGCCGGAGCTGCTGGTGATGAGTTCCTCGAACTTCCGCTTCACCGATCCCACAGACAGGTTTGTCAGGGCACCGCCGGAGATGACCATGGCCCTAGGGAAGTATTCCCACCGGCTGGTGGGGCGTACAGGCTCGTCGGGGAGATCTAGTTTGTCGGGGAGGCCGAACTCTCTGAGAGCGAACCAATCTTCGGGCCGGCTGATGCTGAGGGCCACTTGCAGGCCGTTCGTTTCGTCGGGAGAAGGGAGGTCTTCGACTCTCTTGGTCTAGGGGGCATCCTGACGCGCGCCTTCTCAGGCGTACCTTTTCAGATGCCCATCTTTGATGAGGATTTCTATCGCGTGTTTTAGATGGACACAGTCCTCGGTAACGTGCCCGTGGCACCTGTGGAATTGACAGTATTTTGATTTGTCCACATTAGGCTTTGGGGCCGTTGCCCGGGGAAAGCAGACGCCCCCTGCACGAATTCTGTTTTTGCGCATTCGGCCAGTATTCGCTCGCGGGAAGCTACTAGGGCGGTGTATTCCGTAAAGCGGCCGGCCGGTCCGCGTTGTTCGCGGGGTTCCCGTTGACGGTCATCCCATCGTCGATCGCCCCCACTTCAGTGGCTCGAGGCGGCGGCATCCCGAGACCCGCGGGGGGTCTCTCTGTCGTGCGTGTCGCGGGCAGAGTTGGCTGCTTGGGTTTCTTCAAACCGGATGTAGTGCGCCGCCCTGTCGAGGAAATCTTGCAGCGAGGATGGTCGGTGGATTGCTATGGCCTTGTAGAACTTAGAATCTCGGCAGAGACCCTGCTCCATCAGGTACCGTTTCATTTCATCCGACGTCGTCACCTGCACTGCTTCCCTGGTGAACCTTTCGATGTACTTTCGGAGAGGTTCGTCGGGGGCATGAATTATGGCCCCTAGGGCGGCCTCGGTCTTTGGCTGTCTTCGGGACGCCGTGAAGTGTCTGGAGAAGAGGTCTTTCAGGCCTCTCCACGACCTGACGAACTCCGGCTCCAGAGTCTTGTACCATGTCATGGCTCATTTCCTCAGTGTCGTCGGGAAGAGCCTGCACTTGATAGCTCCCCAGACGTTGCGGTAGTCGAGCATGGCTTCTATGTTTTCCAAGTGGTCGTCCAGGTCCGAGGTTCCGTCGTATGTCGTGAGCGCGGGGGGCTTCTCCATCCCGTGTGGGATGGGGGCCGCCATGATGTCCCGAGACAGGGGGGTCCTGTAGTCATCTTCGTCGCTAAGAAGCGGCGAGCGAGGGGGTGATGGCGGGGGAGGAGCATGGCCTCGCGGCCTTTGATGTCCGGCAGGGGGGTCGACCCGTGGGGGCATAGCCGGCATATCCACCCCGACCGTTTGCTGTCCTCGGGAGCTTCTCCTAGGTGACCTGGTCCGCTCTCGTATTACTGCGGGCTGAGGTCTCTCCAGGTGAGGTCGCCTGTTCGTTGGTCGGGGAGACGGACTCCTTAAGTTTCCATTTTGGTCTTCCCACAGAGGGGACTGTGATGGGACGTCTTGCTTCAGGGCGCCAATACGTGCATTCTGCTGGTGTAGCAGTTGATTTGTTTGATTGATGGCTGCAAAGAGGGCGGCGACGGTCGGGTCTGCCCCGGTCGGGACAGGAATGGGCTGGAACGTCACTGGGCTTCTAGGTCGAAGAACGGTTTGATGGGTAGCTTCATCTGACGAGGGTGAGGCGGTGTGGCAGTCTCTCTCGTCGGTCTTCGGACGTTGGGACATCTCCGTTTGTTTGCCGCTATTTGCGGCGGAAGCGTGAACGAGCTCGTGAACGGTGACATCGCGGTGTGGGCTAGACATGACTGAGTTGTTGATTAAACTTTGGTTCTCTGCTCGGAGGAACGGGGAAGTTTAAGTTCCCACAAACGGCGCCACTGATCTGACCTGATCAGAAGGGGAGTCACGGTCTGTCCACACTCTGATGGGCTGAAATTTGTTCACCGGTGTTGGGGAGAAGAAGGGGGTGTACCTGTAAGACACTCTGATGCCAAAGTGAGAGTTTGGACAGAGTGAGAGCAAATACAAAAATAGGATCGAAGGGAATTACCTGACCCTCTTGTGGAAGAGGGTATTTATAGAGAGACCCCATCGCTGGGCCAACGGTCATTTGAGTTGGGCTGGATGGCCAGACCCAACCTAGATGACTGCTAGGGCTTACATGGCGTAGTGAAGACCAGAACGTGGTCTTCGCCCTAGTTCAACTGCTCTGTGAACTCTGGAAAGTGAGTTTGACCTGCTCTTTCGGAGGTGGACAGTTGGTTAGTGATGTGTCCCCGCAGAGAGGGGCATGTGGAGAACGTGTGGGGGACACGTTTGTTCTGCTCGACAGGGGAGAGGGAGCTGCCCGCGAATGGGGTGCAGTCCGCGGAAGGCTGGTTTTGCCCGCGGGGGACAGTGCGTGCGCAACGTTGGAAAGGCGCATATTCCTACTGTCGGGGAGGAAGTGATGTCCGAGGAAGGCGTGTCTGGTCGGTTGGCACTTGCGCTGCTTGGTAGCAGGGAGGAATTCTCATGGGCCTGTGCTCGACATAGTTGGGCTGGACCTCTTCGTCATTCCAGGGCCCAGGCCAAAACATTATTATTCATATAAATATTTTAAAATATAACATTGGAAATAATCAATATAAAAGAGATTATTTTGTACATCATTTTATTCATCTTTATCATTAATTATATTTATTATTTTTACTAATCAAAGTAATATTCTTTTAAATCATAAATAACAAATATAGATATTAAATTACTAATTAATCTATATACAATCAAATGATATTTCAGACATTAATTAAAATATTAAAATAAAATTCATTTGAATCATAAAAAGTTAATTTAGTCTCTGTAAAAAAAATATTTATTTGTGATACTAATAAAGGAAACCGAATAAAATATTTATAATAAAATATATTTAAAATTATTTACAATTAAATTCAATAATGAAAATAATAAATATTTATATTTTGTTTTATCACTAAAAATTAAAAAATACATATAAATAATAATTATGTTATTTTATTTTATTTGAAAAATTAATAAATATAAATTATATAATAAAATATCCCAAATATTTATAACACTAATAAAATGTTACAACAAAAATTTAGTCTCTATAAAAAATAAATTTTATTTGTCGAGGGTCAACTATTTTTAAGATAAAACTTTATAAGTCATTACAATTTTTTTTAAGACATTAATGTCATAAAATTAATGGCACTATTAAAAAAAATAAATGTTGGCATAATATTTACAATAAAGTATACTTAAATTTGTTCTTGATTAAATGCAATAATGGTTATAATAAATATTTAAATTTTATGTTGTTAACGTTATTACTTTTAAAAAAACTAATTAATTTTTAATTTTAGTACTGAAACATAAAATCAAATCAAATTTACGACTATTTATTTCACAATAACGATAAAAAATTATCAATTTTATTTGCGAACTAAATCAAAACACTTATATCATTTAAAAAACTATAGACTATTTTTTAGATCATAATAAAAGAAAATCGATGAATGGATGGACTTCAGTCACATATTATGGTGATATAATAATAAAATTTTATGTTCATTATAAATAACTTAAATCAAAGATGGATAGGGTGGAAAAAGAAGCTCTCTTAAATAATATTTGGGAAATTTTATTCCATATCTATACACTAAATTTTTTTGAACCAAAATACTCTCGTATAAAAAGTTATAATTTTTTCGTTTGTTTACCGGAAGAAGTTTTCCGGTTCACATTTTTTTTAGTTTGTTTATCGGAAGACTTTTTAAAAGTCTTCCAATTCACTTTTTTTTGTTTATTTATCGGAAGACGTTTTAAAAGTCTTCCGTTCACATTTTTTTAGTTTGTTTACCGAAAGACTTTTTGAAAATCTTCTGATTCATGTTTTTATTTTAATTTTTAATTTTTTTTAATATTCAAATTACAAATATATTGATTCAATTTACCCTATTTTAGTTAATTAATATATTTATTATGTAATTTGTTATATTTATTCTATTTATTTATTTAATTATTATTATTTCATTAATTTGATTTTTTATTAATTTATTATATTTATTTACTTAATAATAATTACTCCACTAATTTAGTATTGTTTTTTTTAATCAATAAAAATAAAAGTTATTAACTAATTTATATATTAATTGTAATAATTTAATAATACGTTTATATAAAAAATAAAAATAAATATCATATTTAAATTATAATCCTATCATTTCTTCTATCAAAAATTTTCAAAAAAAAATTATAATATATAACATTTATAATTATTTAAACAATATAAATGTATAGATTTTTAACTTATTTCACATTATAGTGTTTAAATTAATAGTTAAATTATGATTTTTATTTATAAAATTTAAAAATTATACCAAATATATGGGACGCGATTCACAGTATTTTTAGTATCCTTTGTTAGTATCTAAATGGTGCATTTAAAAATATATCCAAAAATAGGGATATAATTAAAAAAATTGTTATAAATAAGTTAGAATTGGGCTTTTTGACCCATTCCTCCAACCTATTACTGTTAGAAACCTTAACCCACGCAAAGTAATTTTTTTATAAATAAGGAATAGAGATGTGAGTGGAGTAAAGTAAAATCATGGCTACCTACGTATCTAACAAAAATACACGTCAAAAACGGCTGCGTTTGCGTTTAAGAAGAAACCCTAATCTGGTGTCTAATTGGCCACCGGAGTTAGAATCAGAGATGGCGACGGCGGAGGAAATCAACTATGATTCACTTCCCAATCTTCCTATCGATCTGGTCGGTGAAATATTCTGCAGGCTACCTGTGAAACTCCTCCTACAGCTCCGATGCATGTGCAAGTCATGGAATTCTCTAATATCCGATCGCAATTTCACCAGAAAGCACCTTAGCCTCTCAACCACTCGCCGCCTCCATTACGCCTGCTACAATTATGAACCACACGAGTTAATTCACAATTCTTACCCACTCGAATCGGTTTTAACCAATATACCCACTAAATTCAAAGGCCGTCGCAATCTTTTCAACCGTATCTACAACAGTATCGTTGGTTCCTGTGACGGCCTCCTTTGTCTTGCCGATAGATCTAAAGGTTTAGTTATATTGTGGAATCCTTGTTTTAAAAAGTTCAAGTTCAAGGAGTCTCCCCCTTTTGAAAACAGTGAAAATCTTATCAAGGTTTATGCGGCCTTCGGCTTCGGCTACGATCACGTTTCTGAGAATTACAAAGTGGTTGTTCTTTACTACCCCAAACCTAACTTGTTTAACAAAACTAAAGTAAAAGTTCATACTTTAGGCACCAATTGTTGGAAAACCATTGAGAGCTTTCCTTTTGGTACTGTCGAGCATCCTGCAATATACATAAGAGGTACAGGTACACTTAATTGGATTGTCTATACTAAGTGGGTTCGGTTAGGTCCCTGCTTCATTGTGTCTTTTGATTTGGGAAAGGAGTCTTATCAGAAGCTTTTGCCTCCTCCTGGTCATGCAGAGATCGGTATGAGTTTGTCTGTCTTGAGGGACTGCTTGTGCGTACTTTTTGATAACCATATTTGGGTCATGAAGGAATATGGAATTTATGATTCCTGGACTAAATTGTTGTCGGTTTCATACATGCAAGATCGTAGTAAGTGTTGTTTATTGTTCGATGCATTGTATATTTTTGATGATGACCGAGTGCTTCTGGAAACTGAAGAGGATTCGAAAACAAAGGTGGTTGTTTACGATCCAAAGAATGATACTTTTAAGGTTGCTTTGTTTAAAGACCGCCTACACGTCTGTCTTGAAAGTTTGATTTCACCTTATGATTTATAGATGTATGTCTTTGTATCTTGTGATTTTAGAGGTGCCTTTAGCTTCTTGGTTATAATCAAACATTTTTGCAAGCACCACATAGCTCTATGCATTACACTTTGAGATTGACTTTGTTTTGGAACTAAATGCTCTGCACTTGAATTCATCAAAATCAAGTGTCATTCACTTTGTTTTGGAACTAAATGCTCTGCACTTGAATTCATCAAAATCAAGTGTCATTCACTAACTTAGACATGTGTTTGTATTTCACATTAAATTCAAATCTATCACCTTATGGTTCCTTTCTAATATGTTACTCGTGTATCTCCTAATCATGATGTTCTTAGTAAGTGCGCAATTTTGCATCAAGTGATTTTTATAGAGTTTTCTAATATGAACTAGTAATCATATCTTTTATCTGCTGCTTATAATGTAATTGAAAAACGGGTTATATATTCACTTCTGGATACAAACTATTAAGTCAAAGAGATGAAACTTAAAAGTGAGGATCTAACTATAGCATCAGGAGCAAGCAAGAGTAAAACATTGTTCAACCTCTTCTAATTATGGCCAAAATTGAAGCTTTGGTTTATTTTTTCAAACCCGTTGACAATTACGTCACTGAAATTTTTTAAATTAGTTTTAGTTTAGGGAGGTTTGTAACTCCTACAATATAACATGTTATTTTGGTATGGAGATGATTTAAAATAACTATTTTTTTTAATAAAAAATTTATATGTATTAAAACCAAATTTTAAATTATTTACAACGACGAAAAATATATTTATCAATTACATCTATCAAAAATGTCTAAGTCTAAAAAAGTTTATAATGATATCTTTCCTTCGAAATTCAAACATATTAAAATATATGACTACATCTTATATAAGTTGTAGTCAATCCACTTTTTTCTTCATGATATCATCCATTTTCAATAACATCTAATCTAGATGTAATACTATATGGAAGACCATACTTATGGCATGATCTATTTATAATATAAAAACTTTTGATTGTTTTGAAAATCACTCTCATAACTTTCTTCTTAATGATGCCACATTACTATTTTAGGGGCATTTTTTTTGTCTAATAACAACTAATTCCAACTAAATTTGTGTTTGATTGAAATATAACCACACTTGATGCACTATATTTATCAGTTTTGTGCCAATAAATTATCGAACATTAACAAAAGCAATCAGATTTTGACTTTTGGATAACCAGAATTACATTGAGTCTTTGGGAACGGATACCAAAGTTGTTTTACATTGAGTCTTTTTATTCTTCAAACTCAAAACCACTCAATCTCAAAAAACCTCTAAACCACAAAACTAAGATTTTCTGGATTTTTGATTCAACATGGCGATAAAAAACATGCAACTTTTTGAAGATAGAAAAAACACATATTCCCTCTTTTATTTTGGTTTCGATTCTCATTATTTTCCTTTATTTTTGTTTTAAATTCTTTATTTTGTTATTGTGTTGGGTTATCGCGACGAAAGAAGCCAATCATGGTATTGAAGTTCTAAAATCAAGGAAGACGGAAGAACACCAACGAGCTATTGAAGTTCTGAAATAGGACGAGGCGCGGGTATCCAAATTTTCATCAAATTGTATTCTTAGATTCTTCACAAGGTTTTATCATGCAAATTCACTTTCAAAAACTCAAGTTACAAAGAGACTTCGTTTGCATCAATTTTAATTCTAAGATCTCAATTTAAGATGGGTGGATGAAGTAACACAAGGTAGTCAAAAAAGAAGAATTATTATAAAAGAGAGATATCACGAATCCCTCACGTAATTGCCCGTGGCTGAAGGAAGGGTAATAAATTCATTACCATCACCATCATGGAAAGCTTCATTAGAATAATGAAATTCCTTCAATAATTGTATACATAGTAGAAATGACAAGGCAATACCGCTTACATCCTTACTAACATCATATAAACCGTACCGCTTTTTAAATAGAAAACAACTAGAATATGAGCTTTTACAATGGTAAGTGTTTACATGTTAAGGTTACAAGAATTTGAAATGTAAAGTTAAGTCATTTCTTCGTCGACGGACCGCGTCCCCGATCTACATTTGTGAAATGAAGTGCTTTGTGTGTGAGCTTCCGCCAGTTCAAACGCCAACATATTTGTCGCTACGCGAAAAATGACACAGAGTCGCCACCGGATTTTATTTATCCCAAGGAGGGAAAGGGAAATAGCGATAAAACCTTTAGGGAAAAGGCGTGGTCGTCGCAACCAAGTCTTAGGGTTCGGGAGCCGGTTATGCGAGGGGAAGGTATTAGCACCCCCTCGCATCCATCGTACTCAATGGGAACCTCCTAGATTGTTTAGCGTGAATGAGTGTTTTTATTAAGAATTTGCTTGCTTAAGGAAAAGAGGAGTTGGTTTATTTATTTTAATGCTCGCCAAGGATTGTGGCCCTTGTGCCTACGTATCCTCACTTAAAAGAAGTAAAGAATCATAGCTCCGTAGTTCGGAGGCTTATGAATTTGTTGTTTGTTGGTTGATTTTCTACCTTGAAAAAGGGTTTTTGATTGATGCCCTAAGGTGAAAGTAAGTTTGATGAGTTGGTGTTATTTTTAGGTTTTTTTGAAGAGAAATGGTTCTTGATTAGGATTACACAAAAGGACTTTGGATAAAGATGAATGTTTCGAATGGCCAAGTCGAGCGCCTTGTATCCAAAACATTCGGAACGAGTGTAGGAGGATTCCATTCTCATCCCTTCTCCACCACTTTAAAGTCCTTGGTGTACAACCCCAACCGTGTATTTATTTTATTTTCAGTTTTTTATAAGAAAAAGATCACTTGATGTTGGATCAAGGTTTATTGTTTGCAAAGATATATTCGAAGCGATACAGACAAGGTCGATAGCGATGCGCAAGGCAATCGACTTACAAGGTTAAAAATGGCTCGATAAAATCGAGAGTTTGTTTTTGAAAATGGTTTTTGAAATCAAAAGTCAACAAGGAAAATAGCAATATTCACACTAAAATCATACAAACATATGGGGTTGGTCAGAAAATAAATCGAGACATGCAAAAAATAAACACGGAGAACTCCTAAAAAAGGGAACAAACTGATCAGTTCGCGCCGCGAACTGAGAAAAGTGAACATTCTGTTTTTTGCAGTTCGCACCGCGAAGACTTGAAGCAGAAAATGCAATATTTGAAAAAAGTTAACATTCTGTTTTTGGCAGTTTCGCGCCGCGAAGGTGGGTCGCGCCGCGACCTGAAGCGAAAAGTGCAGTTTTTTTGCTGTCTTTTGTGGTTTTCTTTCCTTTTTATTGGTTCTTAAAAATGGTTTCTTCATTTTTTTGGTTTCCTTAGAATCTTACATGATATACTCGGCACAACAACACTTAAAATAAAAGACAAATGCAAGATATAAAGAGGGAAAAGTTTAAAGAAATGGATACCCCAAGAGCTTTTATCCTTCTCGCGAATACTCCACTGGTTTTGGTTGGCTGTGCTCCCCCTCTTCACTCTATATGGTGAAAGTTTTGATCTTCAAGGGTTCCTTGTCTTTCTATGGAACTCTTTTTTTTGGTTTTCTCTCTTACTATTTTTCTGGTTTTTTGCAATGTGTGTTGCTCTCACTATTTTCTGTTTTTTTCTTCTCTCTTACTCTCTCAATGTTGTGTATGTGAATGATAGTGAATGAATGATTTGTTTGCAGCTCCTTCCTTTTGTTGACATCCCCTTTCCCCTGTCATCTCACTTTTTCTGCTATACTAAACCAATGGCTCTTGCACAAGCTTCAATTTTCAGAATTTCCATTCTTGGCAACAATTATGGCCACTTTCTTGGTGCAGCCCCACTTTTTCCACTTCTAGTATGCTGTTTTTGCGGTATTTTTTCTGCAACACTCCACCTTACTATCCATCCTTGTGTCCATTGGTTGGTTATGCTTGGATCTACTCATGTAGTCAATACCACTACCTTTTGACAGCATTTTCAAATTCTGGTTTTTGGTATGTAGATGCATCATTGTATGTTATTCCCTTGGTTTTGTGACATAAAAATGATTTTGTAACATGATACATATTGTCATCTCTTGCATGGGGCTGTTTTGCATGATATTCAATTTATCCATGGCTAAGCAAACATAGTCTTGATCTTGACATATTCCAATGTTGATTTAATTCTTAAATATTTCTTGGATATAATGTGGACTTGGTGTGACATTACCATAACATGAATTTGATTAGAGACTTGAATGAAGATTAAAAATAAATTAATTTCTAAACATTACCTAGAGTTGAAAATCTTGTAACAAATGACATTATTGTAATGTCATAAAATTTCTCATAGTAATATTCTTATCTCTACTCTTGAATTCATGAATCTTGAACTTTGAATGATGTATTCCCTCATGCCATTATGAAGTCTTGAATGATATTGACTTATGCTTTACAAATTTGAACTCCACTTGATCAAGAATTTGACATAAAGTAGAATGAAGAACTCTTGAATTATGCCTTGCATTTCATGTTCATTAGGAATTAATCTTAAATATCCTAGTATTTTCCATGTAGCTTCTCCTCAAAGAAATCTACATGAGTATATTTTTCCAACTTAGATCAAACCTTAGATGATGAACCTTTTCTTCCATGTAGCCTAAGATAGACAAGTTATCCCATTTGAAATGGAAAATAACAAACCAACCTACATCGTACCTTGTGAACCCGCATGCTTGATATGCAATAGAACAATGTATGATATGACGAATGTGGGGTATAAAGGCTAAAAGGTGAAAATGAGGGTGTGACAGCTGCCCCTATTTAATCCTCTTGGACCTGAATGTCTGGAGGATAAAGGTGCTCGAACATTCATGGTAGAAGAGAATTAAATACTAGAATGCCTGCGATTTTCACCTGGAGAAGTGTAGGATGATAACGGATGGTCAGCGAGATGGCTTGAACAAAAAGGTGCTTATTAGTGCAGAAGGGTTATAGAGGGATATGATGATATGTTTAAGATGCAATGCGGAATGGACATGAGTGCTTTG